TGTTATAAATATGTGGTGTCTGCAACTTATAAAAGAATACCTGGCTCCAAGGGAGACATAGCAGAGCCGAGAGGACAACGGACAAACTAAGTCTCAGTGACAATGCCGATTGGTTAGGGGATTCTGTTATGAGGCAACCAGAAGCATCTGATAACAGGGCTCAAACAAATCCAGAGTGCATTGACAAAACTTTGAACAACTTTTCCTTTTTATTAATCTCAGCTCAGAGATTATTTTATTTTCCCCCACCTCCTCCTCTGAACATTCTTTTTCTTGTTTCATTCATAAGTATTTCCTAAGCATGTCGTGTTTTTCATGTCTTCAAACCTTTTCTTCAACCTGTTTCCTCTAGTTGAGGGGTGCTTCTTACTGTCTTTAATCACTCAGTAAAATCTAACCTTTTTTTTCAATCCCTGGTTTTCCTCTAGTTTTCCTTGTGGCATCATCAGTTGTATATAAAATCTTAGTAACATACCTGTTGTAACACTTGTTTTCTAGTATCACATTCCTTATTTATATTTCTGCCTTTCTTGGATTTTTTTGAGACTATAATTTAGTTGATGATCCCTAAAGTCAACTGAGCCTCTAGGTAGTAAATTATGAATAAATGAACGTGGTCTAGTTCTTAATCTTAAAAAAGAGAAGTGTTAGGTTTACCACACTAGCTCCATATTTAGAAATTAATTTTTACTTTTGACTGCAGGGTTCAAAAATTTTTTACTTATTTCCCATCTATAAACCTACTTTTGATTTTTTTATATAAGGCACAGCACTTTTTCAGTGACACATTATAGGATAAACACATTTAAAAAAAAGAGAGACACTTCCCAAAGAAATTTAATGTAAAAAAAGCACAAGTATTTTGTGTACATGCATAAGCATTTCAAGATTATAATCGCTTTTTACTTCAGGAAGGTTGTAATGTATAAACATTTTACAAATCTGATCTCAAAAAGCAATGCATTGAGTAATCTGTGCTTTAATGCAAAAACGAAACATGAATTTGTTCAGTTTCTCATACAACATGTTTATTGAACATTTCAGTGTCAGTAGTTCTTAAGATTGCAACATTTAACCTTGTAATGGAGCTAATACCAATTCTACTCATGGAAGTATATTCTGGACTCTTGAAATGAATACCGCTGTCTTTTTAGGCTGTGCCTGGAGCAAAGACAAAGAAGCATCAACTATTCTTTCCAGCGAATAAAACACCTAATGGTGCCATTTTATGATATTAGTTTATGCTATTTTTACCCTGTTAAATATATTTTTTGCTTTTGTTTGTTGCTGAAACTCAATATACCATCTCTGAACATGACCAATTTTCAATTAATTTAGATTTTTTAAAATATTGAATATTTAACTGGGGGTCCAGGAGAAATCCTGAAAAAAAAGAAAGAGCAGCATTTAGCATCTTTTTCCTGCCCTCAGCCATAATGCTTCTATTTGCTGTGATGTATCATGTAATCTGTTTCAGGAAGTATAGGTTTTCAGATAATTTTTTTTAAAATAAAAAAATAGTTGCCTGTGCGTCAAAGAGGGGATCAGAGCCAGGAAGTTCTGAAGGCGCATGTGCTTGGATTCCTGTCCCCGCTTGTCTCTTCTTTTATTATAAAGTGGCAATTTATACTATTGTTAGAAATATACATTTATATATAAAGTTTTACATTCAAACCTCTTTATTTCGATTACCAATGACTAAATGCCACAAATCAAATAAAAACTCTATATAACACATCCTTATTTCAGAAGCATCTGTATATATACACATATGTATTTGTAGAACAATCCACTGTGTTAAATGTGATTCTGATTTTAAAAATGCTATTTACAGTTGATGCCAGAGAAATCATCTCAGCGTTTTATGATATTAAAAGAAGCGGGGCATTTTTATGTTTCAGTGTGTTTCACTTTGTGCAGATGAAATTAAGCAACTTCGTGGAAAGTCTTCTCGGAGGAAGGCCTGGTACATTAAGCCGTGAAAGTGGAATAGTGGATTTGCTATTTCTGGGTCTGTGTTTAAGAAAAAATTAAGTCATGCTTCTTCACCAAGAAATCTGTGGCCCTAATTTAGGACCTTCAACCTTTTCAATACACCTTAAGCCATTCTTGACCCTTTAATTTCAACGTCCTAATACTCTCATCTCTTGCTAGTGGCGCCACAGGGCCACCAATCTACATATAATACCTATCTACAGCATTGTCATTTTTTTCGGAATTCTTCTAAAAATCTATCTGGATTACAAGGAGGTCCACAAAGCATCACAACGTGCATCTAAATGGTGTTTCTTTATTGGACCAGTTCGTTGTGGCGAAAAGTGTGCTATAAAACGCATATGTAAAATTCAAAACCCAAGCTATTGCTGTGATCAAGAATAGGTTCACCTGCTCTCCTCCAGTTTTCTGAGACACACAAGTCTCTGAATTAGCAAATGGAACTTCAGCACCATTTTGTTTCTATGCCTCAGACTTCTAGCTTAAAACTCAAGTATATTGACCAGAAAACTATTTTGTGTGAGTCTCGAAAGTTCTGTTTTCATGCTTAAGCCCAGTGATACTGAAACAGGTTACATTAAGGACTCTTAGAATAAACATGTCTTAACGTGTATGTGCATAGCCCATTACAAAGCCTTGCTAGAAGTCATATTTCTCTTGAGAATACCCCTGTGAATTAAAACAAAAAAAACTTACTTCACTTATAGGTGAATCAGTGATGGATGAATCCAGACCCAGAGACTGGAATAATGAATATTAAAGAATTCTTTTACTTGGAATAAACCTGAAAAATGAACTATTTAAACTGGCTCATATTTTTAGAGGAAACCAGATCATTTTGTTTACATTTCCTAAGTTTTTAAAAACCTAGACAGTGAATACTGATATTTTCTCTGACAAGTTCCCTGTGCCTACAGAGTAAACAGCAGTAAAGCCAATGTTCACCTGTGCTCTGAACCTGTTTTCATCAGGTTAATGCGTAAAGGTAACATGAGGTTTTCGACTTTTTCTTTGAACTTAATTGTAACTAACACAAAGCTAATATACACGAAGTTTTACTGTGGTGAACACTTGCTTAAATGATATAGAGGGAAAAACACATACAACTTGGGTAGTTAGGACTCTGCTTCTTAGCTGCTGTCAGGAAGGAGACTCTAATGACAAACAGCCACTGAAAACAGAGGGAAGACTTTTGTTGGAGATTCATCTCTCTATCATAGTTTTCATACTATTTAACTGGGTTAAATCTATCCTGTCATGAAGTTGTCAGTGTAATTGATTGCACTGTGTGGAACTGTCAATGGTGTTACTGATGAGTTTGTGGTTAGTGTACACATGCGTGTGTACGTATCTCCACAAAAGCTCAAGTCATTTCATGAAATGAGCCTGTGACCCATTTTGTAGAAGCCTCTGTTTTATTTCTTTAAAGAAAATAAGGCTTTGTGCTTGGGATTTGCTTGGTCCTGAAAGTGACAGGTGCATTTATAATCAAGTCAAATCAAGTGTGACAAGGAGAAATACAAGCAGATTAAAAAAAACAAAACACAAGGGCTTTCTTTTCCTAGAAGAGCAACATTCTTTTTGTTTTTGTTGTTTTTTCAATTTAAATGTCTTTATTTTTTACTTTCCAGATATTTTGGTTAAAGTAATATTTCTTGCAGATGTGTGTTCAAAATCCTTGCCTAGATAGATACATAACTTTCCTTCTTTGCAACTGATTAGGCAAATTCTCCCGTTTCCTTTTCTGCTAATCTCTTGATAACATAAATAAATACTTGGTGAAGTACACGAACCACTGTTGGAGAATAATGATTGTGTAGAGGGAGAGAAACTACAGTGACCTTGAAAGAATACAGCAACCAATGGCAAGGTCATTGAAGTGAGGACCTAGAGCTTCTGCAAAGTGTATATATTTTAGGGAGGTATATTTGGAACAACACATGCTGGACAGTAGAGTTATAGGAGAAGTAACATGCTAAGTCTTCTCATTAATAATATCCATAAATCTGCATACATTTTTTTAAACAATCTGTTTTGTTTTGTTTTAATTTGGCTGTCTCTACACCATTTCTGATTTGTAGGATTAAGTAGATCTATTTTTTTTCCCAAGGCAATTGAATAATGTTCATTTCTTCCCTAATATTTTTCTAATACTTCACTATTCCTAACTATGCATTTGCCTAGTCTTACACTCAGTTTTTTTAATTTTGTTTATTTTACTACATTAAACTGCTCACACAATCCTGTCTGTTGAAACCATAGCTATTAGTTCTAGAAGAGACATACTTATTGTCACCTAGACTTATAAACAAGGATAGATAGTAACAAACAAGCCACCTGCTTCATAAAATAGTAAGTTAGGAATTTCACAGCCATGCCTCCCAACATCAGGGCAGAGTTTGGGAGACACTGCATACATAAAACTCTGGTAAGTTACAAAGGCAGATACAACTTGCTTTGACCAATTTTTTAGGTTGTATTTCTTCATGTAAAACCCCTTTCTTCTTTCTTTCTGCAAGAGATGATAAAAACAAACAAACAAACAAAAACAACTCTCTAAGACAACTAGTCATGCACCTATATTCTCAAAGGGATCCACAAAGTTAAAAAATCAGACCAAATAGGAGGAGCATGTAAATTGTACTTTACTGCCCAGGCATGGTAAGAACAAAGAATTCCCAAAAGTTTCTTCAGCCTTAAAAAAAAAATCTAAATTGCTAAAAAAAATGAGATCCTAGGTTAATACCTTTGATAAAAATATGACATTCTCTTAGGAGAATCTGAAGCTCTTTTTATGAAGGAATTAAATCTGCTAACACCAGTAGACTCAACATAAGACTGTCCGTTGCCTAAAACAATCTTAAATGATTACTTCAAAAATAATTTTTTGAATTGTTCTTGATGTTAAATGATTCCTTGTTATATATCTTAGAGACATTAGAAAAATCTATAAATAAATGTTCAAGATCATGGTTTAAAAAAAAAATCCTGAAAACAGGATGTAATTATGTGACAATTTCAGGTACCCAACGAAAATAGAACATCAAAACAAAGAACTCATCACAGCATTACCCAGAGCTTAAGCTATTTAGGGTATTACATCAATTTGTAAGTTCAAGTCTACTAAACCCTTTTATTTAAGGTAATAATTTTATTTCACATTTACTACAGTTATGTCTTCATTACAAATAGCCCTCTATTAATAACTGCACAGTTTACTTTAGTGTTTGTGGAGTGTCGATTTATTTTCCCCTTGCTTATATGTGTGCTCATCTGTGTGCATGTGCATTTTCTACACACTGCAACAGGAAAGCTTTGGTTCAGTTTTCCTGTCATACACAAAGGAAGATTTGGGGAGCCACTAGGTCCTGCGTTGCCATTTTATTTTTCTCTCCTTGGGTGGATTTATTGGAAGGAAGTGGGTAAAGGGGAGGGGAGGAAGGGAAGGGAGGAGACAGGGACGAAGGGAAGAGTTCTCAGCTATGTTGAATCTTGATTCACGACTTTGCCTCCGTTCATGGTTGGCGTTCCAGAACTTTTCCTCGAACGTCCTTGTTTTTCTCCAATTTCATGTAGCGATGGCTCTCTATACATACACACTGGAAAGCAAAATGGCAATGATTACTTATTACAATTGTAGACATCAATCTGGACTCAACAAACCTCTCAAGTTAGAGTTTATGATATTCTTAGTTCTCAGCACAAGCGTCTCTCCCCGCCGTCAAACCAAGTTGTAACTGGAAAATGTATTTACTGGATACACATGCTTCTCCTACATGTCTATCAGCACAATGGCTTACGTCTTCTGGACCACAGATATATGAGTGGTTCTGTTCTGCTATAGATAAGGCTTCAGTCTTTACCATCTGTTAACCTATAACAGGACGTTCATCTAGAGATAGAGAAGACATTAAGGGTATAACATTTAAAGGATAGAAAAAGATATTTTGTTTTTTAGTCCTTAGTCTGTAATTTAGTTTAGCTAGGAAAAACAATCCTTATATACATGCTTCTTATGTTACACCACTGTAAGAAATATGACATTATTGTGGTAAATTAAAATATTTATTGTCCATTTTCAGAGTATCTTACATAAGAAATGATAATGGGAGAGAAGTCAGGAAAAAGTTAAAAAAAAATTCCCCCAAATTTCCCAATTACTCCAGATTTCCTTCACCTAAGGTAATAAACACACTCCATGGCTTCTTGTTCCCCATTTAAGGGGAATGCTTATAGTTTTTGCCCATTGGGTATGATGTTGGCTGTGGGTTATCATACATGGCCTTTATTATGCTGAGTTATGTTCCCTCTATTCCCACTTTGCTGAGAGTTTTTATCATAAATGGGTGCTGGATTTTATCAAATGCTTTTCTCCATCTATTGATATGATCATATGGTTTTTATCGTTTATGTGGTGTATCACATTTATTGTTCTGCAGATATTGTACCAGCCTTGCATCCCCGTAATAAATGGCTTCTTGGCTATTCAGTGATAGGAAAAGTAATTATGCCACCATGTGATTTCAGTTCACATCTATATAAACAGTTTGTTTTCCCCTTCGTTTTGTCTGGCTCTGAAGCTCAGTCATCTGTAACTTATCATGGCTGGTGCTAGAGTATTGCACAGAAAGAACAAGGTTTTTTAAGTCACACTTATTCTCATAAAATAAGATCTATCAGCATGTTGAGTGCATTAAAAAAGATTGATCATACTGTTCTGGGACAGACATGTGATTGTAGAAGAGCATATGAAATATTTCACTTAAATATCTGAAGTTATTGCCCTGGCCAGTTTCGCTCAGCGGTTACAGCGTCGGCCTGCGGTCCAGAGAGACCTGAGTTCAATTCCCGCTAAGGGCATGTATCTCGGTTGCAGTTTGTCCCTGGCCCTGGTTGGATTGTGCGGGTGGCAACCATTCGATGTGTCCCTTTCATGTCAATGTTTCTCTCTCTCTCTCCCTTCCACTCTATCTGAACAAAAAATGGAAAAATGTTCTCGGGTGAGGATTAAAAGAATATATATATCTGGAGTTATTTTCATCCTTGACATAGAAACAAACAATTAAGTACTTCCATCTATTGAACCATCACTACAATGCCCTGTATGTAATCTGAATGTTATTTCTAATCAACTAGCTTCTTCCCTTGGGCTCTGCACTGGTCCTTCAGACATGAGTAGGGCTGTGACTGAATAGATGTTGTGTGGATGAGAATGCCAGTTTGGGAGCCACACTGCCTGGGGCCACATCATCACCCAGCCACTTTCTATCTCTGTAAACGTAGACACATTTTCATTCTGAAAAATAGCATTTTGATGAGGAATGAAATGCCTGGCACATAGTAAGTGTCCAAGGATGTTTTTAAAAATGAAGGAGCAGCCTGGCTGGTGTGGCTCAGTGGAATGAGTGTCATCCCATAAACTGAGAGGTCCTGGTTCAATTCCTGGCCAGGGTACATGCCTGGGTTGCAGGCTTGATTCCCAGTAGGAGGCATGCAGGAGGCAGCCGATCGATATTTCTCTCTCACATAGAGATTTCTATCTCTCTCTTCCTTTCTCTCTCTAAAAATAATCAATAAACACACACACACATATATATTTTTTTAATGAAGGAGTTGATCTCTTTATGAGAATCTTGAATAACACATTTTAGAGAACATAGTGATAAACTGTTTTGGTTGAAGGTATTTTAAATCCAATACTAGTTCAGTGATGAGGCAAGAGGTTGCTTCCAACACAGTCAGTAGTAGAGCTTCTTAAACACTAACGTGCATTTGAATCACTGAGGGATACTGTTAAAATGCAGATTCCCAGGTGATGCTAATGCTGGAAAAACTAAAGCTCACTTTGGGTAGTACACAATATAATAAAAAATATGTTTGTGAATTATACCATGCAAAATTATTATATATGTGTACATTTGTATATCACATATATGTATATATGTACATGCGTACATATATATTATTGGGGTGACATTCATTAATAAGATTATATAACTTTCAAGTGTATAATTCTGTATCACCTGTACATTGTGTGTAGTATTGTGTGCTCAGCATCCAAAGTCTAGTGTCCTTCTGTCACCATATATTTGACCCCCTTTAACCTCTTCAACCTCTTTCCAACCCTGCCTGTCTGGTAACCACCATACTGTTGTCTGTACCTATGAATTTTTTTGTTTGTTAATTTGTTGCTTTCTGTTTTATATCCCACATATCAGTGAAATCATGTGGTTCCTGTCCCTTTCCATGTGACTGATTTCACTTAGCATGACATTCTCAAAATCCATCCACGTTGATGCAAATGGCAGTATTTCATCTTTGCTATGGCTGAGTAGTATTCCATTGTATATATGAACCACATCTTCTTCATCCAGTCATTAATCAAAAGACACTTAGATGGTTTTCATGTCTAAACTACCATCACTAATGCTACAATGACTATAGGGGTACATATATTTTTACAAATATATGAAAAATATATTTATTTATTTGAAAAATGCCATTGGGATTTTAAATCTGTATATTGGTTTAGTTAATATGGCCATCTTAACTATGTTGATTCTTCCAATCCATGAACAGAAACTATCTTTCCATTTCTTTGTGTCTTCAGTTTCTTTCAGTAATGTCTTATAGTTTTCCATGTGTAGGTCCTTCACATCCTTTGTTAAGTTTATTTTTAGATATTTTATTCTTTTCAACACAATTGCAAAAAAGAATTTGTTTTTATTTTCTCAACATTTCATTATTAGTATATAGGAATGCAATACATATTGTACACGGATTTTTATACCCTGAAACTTTGTTGTATTGGTTTATTGTTTCTCTCTCTCTCTTTTTTTTTATGGAGTGTTTAAGGACTCCAACACGTCACCTGCAAAAAGTGACAATTTGACTTCCTCATTCTCATTCCGGGTGCCTTTTATTCCTTTCTCCTGTCTGACTTCTCTGGCAAGGACTTCCAGTACTCTGTTGAATAACAGTGGTGACAGTGGGTACTTTTGTCTTATTCCTGACCTTAGAAGTTCAGTTTTTCACCATAGAGTATGATATTAGCGGAGGGTTTGTCATATATGGTCTTTACTATATTGAGACATTTTGCTTCTATAACCATTTATTGAGTGTTTTAATCATAAATGGATATTATATCTTGTCAAATGCTTTTTCTGCATCTATCGAGGCCAACATTACCCTGATACCAAAAGCCTATCAAGGACAACACAAAAAAATAAAGGTACGAACCAATATCTCCGATGAATATACATGCAAAAACCCTAAACAAAATACTAGCGAATAGAATATAATACATTGAAAAGATAATAAAACACAATCAAGTGTGGTTCACTCCAGGGGTATAAGAATGGCTCAACATACACATATGGGTCAACGCAATGTACCACATTAACAAAGTAAAGGATAAAAATCACATGATCAGCCCTGGCCAGTTTGGTTCAGCCGTTAGAGCATCGGCCTGCGGTCCGGAGAGACCCGGGTTCGGTTCCCGCTAAGGGCATGTACCTCGGTTGCAGTTTGTCCCCGGCCCTGGTTGGTCGTGCGGGTGGCAGCCACTCAATGTGTCTCTTTCATGTCGATGTTTCTCTCTCTCCCTCTCTTCCTCTCTCTCCCTCCCACTCTATCTGTGCAAAAAAATGGAAAAAAGTCCTCGGGTGAGGATAAAAAAAATTATAAAAAAAAATCACATGATCATACATATGCATTTTTAAATAGTTCAGCTACTGCACTGAGTGGGTCCTCCAATACCCTGAAGAACAAATTGCCTTAGGTCTAACCTAAGTAGCAAAGTGTACAAAGAAAACTAACTCAGGAAGAATTGATCCTATAATGTTAAGATGCCAGCAGTAATTCAATATTTTATCTTTCTTTTACAAAAGACAGAAGATCCTATGGAAGATTCTGTTGTAATCTTGAAATTTCTTATCTGTATTTTTGTTATAAATAGTGTCAAAATCTCCCAAATTAAAGCATACCTTTATATGTGCAAAATATAGCCATTTATTTATAAGGGGTTAGTGCACATGGGACCTTGGAAGAAGAAATGAAGTGAGTTGTAAAGTTATTCATCTGAGGTCATAAAGCAGTTTTTCAGTATTCTGTCTCCTAATTTGCTGTTAAAACATATATATCCCCAGGCCTGACTACAGACTGCTAAGTCAAAGTCTCAGTGAACATTTTTTTAAAAATACACAATAGATTTTTGACCTGCAAATTTCCTAAAATTAAAAGTGGAGGTTAATGAAGAATGTTACTTTCTAATTTCCATTAAATAATATATTTTTTTATAATTTTTGTTCTACATTTCTTAGGGTTGCTGTCTCTTTTCTAGCTTTCTTATACTGTAGATTCTACCCAAGACATTTGTTTTTAACTTTTATCTCTTCTTTTTTTGCCATGTCTTACACATAAAATACTTCGTTTGTTGACCGAAATGTTATCATTATAATTATCGCTGCAGATAACATTTCCAGTAACTTAACCCTGCTGGCCACCCAGTATAAAAACCCCAGAGAAGCATCTGAACAGTTTAGAGTTTCCAAAAGAACAGAACTCATTAGTGCCATAGCAAAGTGTGCAACTTGTTCTT